GTGGGTGGGGGGGGGCAGGGTGTCAGGGAATGAGCACTTGTGACCCTTGAGAGCATCTGCGGTACCTCCCTGGCCGCAGGGAGAGCACGCAGGAGGCTGGTAGTGAGGGCCCCGGGCTAGAGACATGACGTGAGGCATGGACAGACCTGTAGAAAAAATAGGGTTTTGTGCAGGAGAAGGGAGAAGGCCAGGACCATTCTCCAGGGTTTTGGCCTGAGTAGAGAAATCCTGCTATTAACTGGCGTATTTCCCAGACTTGGAAAATGAGGGTGAGGGTGAGGGTTGTGGGATGTTAGATGGAGAGAGTAGAGAAGAAACTAAGATTTTCTTTCTCTTTCATTTATTATGTGGCCCCTAGGTCCAGCCTAGTGAAATCATTTTCTGTTCTTCAGCAGCCTTCTCTGAAGTCACACATCACAAACACACATCGAGTGCTGAGACCCAAGCATGTGAAAGAGCCTTACTTCACTCACCCATTAGATAGTCACTGAGCACCTGCGGCTTTGCACTGCTGGAGGAGCTTGAGGTATAGCAAGTGAGCAATGGAAAGAGTCCTGCCCTTAGTGGAGCTCATGTGGGTTAAGAGAAGATCTGAACTGTAAGTGAAGTATAATTTCTAGACACATGTTAGCAGTGAGGGCAACTGTGAGGGGAAAAGTTAAAGCAGGATAAGGACCAGACCTAGAAGGAAAGGGCAAGATGCAATTAAATGTGGGCAGATGTATTATTTTGCTAGGGATGCCACACAAAGTAACACAGACTGGGTGGCTTAAACAGGAGAAATGTATTGTTTCACATTTCTGGAGGCTGGAAGTACACGATCAAGATGTCGGCAGGGTTGATTTTCTCTAAGGCCTCTCCTTGGCTTGTAGACCGCCATCTTCCCGCAGTCATCGCACTGTATCTGTGTCCTAATCTCGTCTTTTTACAAAGACACAAGTCACATTGGTTAGGACCCACCCTAATGACCTCATTTAACCTTAATAACCTCTTTCAAGACCCTGTCTTCTCCAAATACAGTCACATTCTGAGGTACTGAGGGTTGGGACTTCAACATACGAATTTGGGAAGAGGGACACAGTACAGCCTACAACTTCAGGGTAAGCCTCATTGAGGACATAGGATGCAAAGACCAAAGATTGGGAGGGAATTTGGCTAAAACAAAAATCCTGAGTTGAGAGCATGCCTGATGCATTTGCAGAACCAAAGAGAGGCTGGGGGCTCCTGCAAACCAACAGATAGGGAAAGTTCAGGATAAAGAGGCCACAGGTGCAGGAAGGAGAGGCTGCGGAGTGGGGTACACAGCCATTCTAGGACTGGGGTTTTACTCTGAGTGAGATGGGGCACCATTTCAGAATTTTAAGCAGAGATACCCAATTTGCCGTTTGCATGGCTTCTCTGGCCACAGTGCTAGAACAGACAGGGGCAGCGCTGGAAACAGACCCGTGGAGGCTGTGCCTGTTCAGATAGGAGATGATGGTGGCTTGGACTGGGGGGCGGGGTGGCCATGGAGGTGGTGAGGAGAGGTCTGATACAGGATGTACTTTGAAGGTAGAGGCAGTGGGATTCTCGGGCACATTACTATGGGGTGTGAGAGAGAGGAGTCAACAATGACCCCAGGGCTTTTGGCCAGAGTACCTGGAAGAAAGGAGTTCCATCAGCTGAGAAGGGAAGGGTGTGAAAGGAGCAGCAGGCATTGGGTGAGACATCAGAGCTCCGTCTTGGACACAGTGAGTCTGAGAGGTCTGTCAGATACCCAAGTGAGGACGGTAAGCAGGCAGTTGGCAACGGGAATGTGGAGTTGAGCCCGAGCCCTGGCTATGAATGGAAACGTGGGAGTCATGCACATGTGCACTCATAGCTCTGGGAGTGATGAGATCACAGGAAGGGAGGAGGTCAAGGCTGAGCTCTGGGCCTCTGGCATCACTTTGGAGCCCAACTAGGGCCCACAACTGCCCTGCAGTGGTGTTATAGGAGCTCTTCCAGCCCCGTCTGTCGTTCAGGAGTTGGTTGGAGCCTCAGGACTGGTGCTGGGATCTCTCACTGATACTCGCCCTGTCGCCTGTGTTCAGATCATAGCACCTATGCTAATGCTAATGCCCTTGAACACTAATGTGGTGTCAGCTTCTATCTTACAGGAGTTCTGTTTCTCAGAGACCCCTCCCTCTTGAGAGGATCTTGAAGCAGCTTGATAAGGAAGCGGTGGGATCAGCTTTCCCTAGGAAGACAGGTCCACCTGTGCAGCCAGGAGAAGGGGGAGAGGGGGCACTAGCACAGCTGGCTCTGTGACTCACCCCTCTTGCCCCCTGGCCTTTGGGGTCTTCCTCATCCCCCAACCCCAGGCTGTTCTCCACTCCCTTCTTTAGCCCCACTCATGTTCCCTGTTCCTGACGTCTAGTTCATCTGTTACTCCTGCCACTGAGCCTGTCAGACCACGGGGCCTTCCATTCCTACCTTGTCTTGCACTTCTTTTGCATTGTTTAACATCATTCTTTTCACATAGTTTGTGACCTCCCTTTTCCCACCTTGTGAACACCTGGACGAGTTCAGGGAAAGGAGGGAGCTGATATTTATTGACCACCTTAAAAGCTAAGGCATTAGTTTCCTATGGCTGCCATAACAAATTACCACAAAATTAATAACTTAACACAACAACACAAATTTATTCCCTTCCCGGTCTGGAGGTCGGCCGGGCTTAGTTCCTTCCGGAAGGGGCTTCTGTGCCTTTTCCTGCTTCTGGAACTGCCACCCTTCCGCGGTCTGTGGCCCCACATCCTTGCCTTCTCTGACTCCGGCACGCCTGCCTCTCTCCTCTAGTGATCCCTGTGGCCACACCGAGCCCACCTGGATAGTTCGGGTTACTCTCCTCACCTCAGGAGGCTTAACTAAGTCACATCTGCAGAATCCCTGCTGCCATGTAAGGTAGCATGTTTACAAGTTCCAGGGATCAGGATACAGACATCCTTGAGGGCCCTCATTGTGCCCACCACAGCTGAGTACGGTGTGATTTATTCAGTCCTGTCAGTGGCCCTATGAAGTAGATGCTTGGTCTGTGTTGTGGATGAGGAGACTGGCTGAGAAAGGCTCATGGTTCACCATTGCTTTACTCCTGCTCATGAGGAGGATCTGGGATGAGTCCCAGGTGACTCCACCCACTATGAGCCTCCCAGGACCCCTGTCTGACTCTTGTCCTCACACAGCTCCTCATAAAGGCTGTAGTAGTTTGCAGGGGTTGCAGTAACAAAGTACCACAAACTTGGTGGTTTAAATAACAGAAAAATATTATTTCAACTCTGGAAGCTGGAAGTTCAAAATCAAGGCGTTGGCAGGGTTGACTTCTGCTGAGGGTTCTGAGGGACGAAGGATCTGTCTGTCCAGGTGTCTCTGCTTGGCTTATAGATCCCAAAATTTCAAATTCCAAAATTCCTTTCTTTAAATTTTTTTAAAGAAATCATTTTGTCCATAACATACTTAATAATCCAATCTATCCTTTTATCTTTGGAGATTTTTTAAAAATTGTGAAATTTATACCATTTTGTCATTTGAAAGTGTACAGTTGAGTGGCATTAAGTGCCTTCACAGTGTTGCACCTGGGTCCTCTTCCTAAGTGTATAAAACCCTTTCTTACACCTCACGCACTGCAAAACCCCTACCCCAGTCTGGGATGAATCCAACTCACCAGTGAGTTGTTAAAATAAGAACTGTACTTGAGGACTTTGTGTTGGAATAAGCCAGTCACAAAAGGAAAATTCTGTGGGATTCTTCTTCTGTCAGGTCATGGAGTTGTCAAACTTGTAGACACAGAGAGTCGAATTGGGGTTGCTGGGGGCAGGGGAGTTACTGTTTAAAGTTCTGGAGATGGATTGTGGTAATGGTTGTACAACAATGTGAATATACTTAGTGCCACTGAATTACATATTTAAAAATGGTTAAGATGATAAATTTTATGTTGTATGTATTTCACCACAATTAAAAATAATTTTAAAAATAAGGAACATACCTTTGTGTGGTAAAATTCAAGTTATTCATATTTACCGTGATCAACAATAACAGCTGTTCCACAAAACTTTTTTTCTCTTTTACAACTTAGGAGTCATTCACCCCTTTAGTACAACTTGAAATGGATCTTTGTTATTACATATCAAAGTAAGGTCTGTATGCCTGAAACTAACATAATGTTATATGTCAGTCATGCCACAATTAAAAAAAAGAAAGGTCAATGCGTGTCTCCCCAAGAATGAGATCACAGAGCAGATATTTTAGTTGAAGATTATTTAATACTCTCTTACACTTGGCATTTCATGATTTCTCTTTTTATTTCTCTTTTAGGAGAAAAGTTCATTACTTCGGAAGTGGTATGACTTAATGATACAAAATAAGGATGACCTTGCCAGGATAATTACAGCTGAAAGTGTAAGTTCAGGATCATAACTCGCTACCCTAATAAATCGTCCAGGAATTCTTAGGCTAACGCATGGGGAAGCTGGCAACTTCAGTGCAGTTCTGTAGCCCGATCTGTGAATTGCCTCATGGTTCGATAACAGCTATTGTGCCAGGCACTCATATTTGTTAAAACAATTTGTACGTTCTGTTCTTCAGTAATATACAAGAAATAGATTTTGAGTGTAACTACATGTACACTGCACCATTACAGGCTTTTCTGTGTGACCATTTTGGTTGATTTTTTTCAAGTTGTTTTTTGTACATTTAAAAATGTACCAGTAGTTTCTCTGTAGCTATAATAAATGACTTGACACTGTGGTCACATTTAGAAGATATTAGGAGGAGAAAAAGAATTAGAAGATACAGTTTTAGTTGTGTTCCCCTAATTTGTAAACATGAAGAATGGGGATTTGTAAACCATGGAGAATGGCATGTTTATTTTCATCACCATTTGTAATCTGCTTTCTAAGACTCATGCTGAAGCTAGAAATGTCTCAACAACCCTGTGGGTTTTGTAATGAGAGAAGTTTTTACTCTGCTTGCAGCCTTGAAGAATTTAAAAACACAGAGTCCTGCTGTTGTTATTAGAAGGTAATGAATGTCTCCTTTTCTGATTTAATTCAGGGTAAACCACTGAAGGAGGCCCAGGGAGAGATTCTCTATTCCGCCCTTTTCCTAGAGTGGTTTTCAGAGGAAGCCCGTCGTATCTACGGAGACATTATCTATACTCCGGCAAAAGAAAGGCGTGCTCTGGTCCTCAAGCAGCCGCTTGGTGTAGCTGCAGTCATTACCCCGGTATGTGGCAGGATCAGCAAGATCTGAGGGAGGGAGATGGAGTAGGGACTGGAAAACAAGTCATTCTTCCTTGTGAGGAGGCATGCTCTTCCTGTGAGCTTTTTATCCCCTGGTCTGGGTTTCCTGATTGCTTTGCTGCGTGCAGAGGTGTGTTCTCCGGGTTCTCTGTGATAATGTGAGGTCTGGGGATGGTGTGTGGGAATGCATGTTCTCTAATGGCTGCAGAAGTGGGATGACCCACACCCCCAGCAGGCTTTTCTGTCCTGGCATAAAAGCTTCTTGATGTTGCCTAGCACATCTGAAAAGATCTGGTTTACCATTTTTTTAAAAGACTTAAGATATGACACATTTTTTAATGTGCCATGGTTTTGAGAAAATTTCAAGCTGACTTTATGGTTGTCATCACCCGCAAAGTATCTGTGCACTACCAGCAGGCACTGGCCAGGTTCCGGAGGGGAAAAGGCTAAGAAATATATTGTGCCTGGATGGTGCTGAAGTATACTTGTGGGTGTGGTCAGCTTTCTCACAGTAACCAGCTTTTCTTGGACCTGCCTCTTTCCACTAGGTCCCATATAAACATGGTGCCCACCAGCTGGTCTCAAGATGGCTATTCTTTCCCTGCTCCACATAATTAGAGATGGATACCCTCTTACTGACTATACTGACTAGGTTTAACTCAAAGTTCAGTTTACTAGATGGGTGACCTTGGCTTAACTGTCCTCACTTTCCCCAAATCTGCAGATGAGGATAATAATACTGAGCTCATTGGGTTGTGATGAGGATTTCATTAATTATAATATAAAAGTGCTTTGAACGTGGTCTGGCATAGAATAAGCACTATACAAGTATTTGTCAAAATAAAATACTGTTAATATAGATATGTAGATGTCTGCAGATACCTATAAATATAAAGAGGGAGGGAAGTAATAAATCATTTGCCATTTTTCAAAATCACATTTGCTAATATTTTCTTCCAAAGGGCAGTAAATGCTGGCCTTCAGGCCAAATCCAGCCTGCTGCCCATATTTGTAAATAAAGTTTTCTTGGGACAGAGCCATGCCTGTTCCTATACATACTGTCTATATCTGCTTCTGCATTATAATCACAGAGTTGAGTGGTTACAACAGAAACTACATTCCGAGCTTAAAATATTTACTATCTGGCCCTTTACAAAAAAAGTTTGCTGACCCCCAGTGTGAAATGATTTTGTACTGTTTTAAATTCTGAAAATGTTTCCTGTCTTTATGAACCTTTGTCTGCTGAGTCCCTTAGGTTGACAGGTGTCAGGTGCTCTAAGAGCTCACCTGCACGAGAGCCAGAGCATAGCTTTTGCCAGTCAGTTGTGCAGTGGAATTTGCTGACTGACTCCCTGACGTGCCTTCCTTTGACCTACGGGGTAATCCTTCCCCTCACACACTTCCTCTGCTCTTCTGACCCCAGTGGAATTTCCCCAGTGCCATGATCACCCGGAAGGTGGGAGCTGCCCTAGCAGCTGGCTGCACCGTCGTGGTGAAACCTGCCGAAGATACACCCTTCTCTGCCCTGGCCCTGGCCGAGGTGAGCCTTTCTCCCTGTGATTGTGCAGAGCTGACAAAGTCCAAAAAGGGATATTTATCCAGGACAGAAAGAAGCAGTTCGGGAGCCTCCTTCTTCACCTTAATCTCATGCTGGATGGTGGTGTGTTTTAATTTACTAGCAATTATTTAAAATCAGGTATTGCTCTTTTTATAAAAAACAACGGATGGGGGATTTTCTGACATCTGTGGACAATGTATGTTTCAGGCTCTCCTAAAAGTAATATCTATCCATCATTTGTATTAAGTAGACAGCTATAGCAAAATATGGGCGTTTCTCACATTTAGGGAGTCTCTTATTTATAAGTCTTCCTTCTCTAGTTCAATCTGCATTCAAGTCAGATCTTGTCATTCTTCTGTTTAAAACCTGTAATGGCTTGTCATGTTGCTCAAACTTCCAGACCCCAAAAGAAGCCTCCTCCCCAGTCTCCAGTCCCCTTATCTGTTAGTCCAGAGCCCCTTACTCATCTGCTGTGGCCACTCTGGCCCCTGGTGCTTCTTGGACCATACCAGGCTCACTTGCGACTCAGCTTTACACTTGCTTTTCCTTCTGTTTGGAAAGTTCTTTCCTAGGTATGCCCAGGACTTGCTTCTCAGTGTCTTTGCCCAAGCATCACCTTCTCAGTGAGGCTTCCCCACCACCCGACTTGAAAAGTCACGGCCTTGAGCTGTTGTGCACCTGATCTCTTCCTCTGCTTTATTTTCCTTCCCATAGCACGTGTCACCATCTAACATGCCAGATATTTTATTCAGTTGGTTTGGGAGATAACTGCCCCCACTGAATGTAAGATCTGTGGGAAAGGGCTTGGCCCTGTTTTGTTCCCTGTTGTATGCCACAACCAGAGCAGTGCCTGGGTGTAGGAGGCGGTGGGGGGTGGTCAGGAAAAGAAAGGAAGGGAGAGCTTCGGTGTGACCAGAGCCACTCAGGAGTCTGGCAGTCAGCTTCTGACCCCTTTCCTCAACCGCACCCTCTATGATAGGCCTCTCTGCTGCTGTCTGGCCTTTTGCTGAATAGTTGTCAAGAGGCTGGGCTGACCACACTCACCGCAGTGGCAGTTATGGCACTTGCTCTTCTAGACTGTCAGGACCTGGCGGGGCTCCAGACCCAGGGACTAGAAGTTCCTATGCTTAAGGTTCCTTCACCCAGTGGCACTAATTTCAGGGGCAAATTGGTCATTGTAATCATACAGAAATGTAAAACTGAATGGAAGAGTTTTTTTTTATGGGCCTTCTTGAAGTTATCCTTGAAATAATTCTTAAATCTGTGTGATGTGTGTAAATTACCCTCTTTATTAGACTCCTGAGGCAAAGATAATAGTTAATGGAGTATTTCCTACAAATTATGTTTAGAGCCAGTACTAATCTATGGCTGCTAGACCCCATTTGCTTATGAAATTTGTTTGAAAACACATCTATACTGAGTGGAAAGGTTAAGGACTACATTCTTTTAAACCTGTATATACTGAGAGATTATTTCAAAGGGAAAATGCTGCTTCTTAGGACTATAGAAAATAAAGGGTTTTAGTAAAGGCCTAGAAACTCCTAGGCTCTCTCTTTAGCCTGGGCTTTGCCTTGTTTTCACCTAAAAAATAATCATAAAGTACTTGCATTTAGTGTGTGTTTTTTCTTCCATTTTTTTTTTATTGTAAAGTAAAGCAGATACAAAACCATGCAAAACAGATTTATAGCTTAATGAATCATTAGTTGAACACTCTTGTAAACACCACCTCGCTAAGAAATAAAATTGCCAGCTGTCCCTGAATCACACTTGGTGTGCCCTGCCTCAACCTGGTGCCTCTGTCCCTCCCTCAAAAGCAGCTCATCTTGATTTTTAAAGTAATCAGATTGTGTTTTTTAATAGCCTCATCAACCAAGTATGCATCTACAGTCTTACTCTTTTTTAAAATTTGGAATGTGTTGTAAGTCTCTTTTAACCTCTCCATCCTTTTCTTTTCTTGCATTATCTTTTGAAGCAGTGGGACTGTAGCTTCCCACAGTCTGGGATTTGCCAGACCCTTGCTCCTCTGTCCACTGCCTTTTCTGCAGATTGGCAGCCTCGTCCACAGGCTTCATCGGACTTGAGTGTGATTCCCTTCTGTGTTCTTTTGTCAGGAGGCACCTGTATCTGATCATTTCCATTTTCATAATGTTAACAGCCATTGTTGCTCAATGCTGCTTAGTCTGTTAATTCTGTAGGAGTTGCAAAATGGTTATATTTGAATTCTTTCATTTCTTTGTCCTCTATTCACTAGACTTCCAATAATCATCTACTATTTGGTTCCCCAGTGATACATTCATATAGGAAAGGCAGCATAAGTGCTTGATTCTTTCTTTTTATTTACCAGTTTTTCAAACTAGTAAATCAGTTCTATCGTCTGCTGAACGTTACCAGTTAGTTTTTTTAAGTATTATTATGTGCAAATAGATTTTAACATATTTGATGAGTTTCAGTCTGTTGCAGTTATTTTGTTTAATGAAGCTCAAATTGCTCCATTTTGGGCAAATGGCAGCTTTTTCAAGTTGGCTCTTGAGCCTTTATTTTCACATCACTGTAATAGTCTTTGAGAGCATCCTTACAGCCTAGTGTGACAAGGTACTTCAGGCTTATTATATATGTAGTTCCTGCCGCAGACCTGGAATAAACAGTTCTGCAGAAAGTCCTTGTTTTCTTTGGCAGGAAATATTTTAACTTGAGGCACTGGGGATGTTCATTGCCACTGTTGGTCGTTGTTTCTAGACCTTTTCAGTGGGCTGGGCTAGGAAACAGATAGACAGGTGCACACACACACTAAAATGCTGCATAAATTCATACAGAAATTTCCAATTCAAATTAGTACTACAGATTTTTAACTGCACCTCTTGTAAGTGTTACCTGCATCTCCTCCTTTCCTGGGTCCCCAGGACTCGGAATAACTGAATTAGAATATCTCATAGTTACTCATTTGCTTTCCCCTAATAAAACACACAACAGCTTATGATACTAATCCTAATAATACCATCAGCACCAACATGCCTACCGAAAACAGTTGAATTTTTTTGTATTTTCTATCCCCCATCTCCTCATTTTTATTGTTCATCCTTTAAATTTTAGAATAGCTTTCCATTTACAGAAAAATTGAAGAGATAATACAGGGATTGCCTACATATCCCACACTCAGTTTCCCCTTTAGTAGCATCTTATCCTAGTATGGTAAGGTAATACATCATTACTAATTAAAGCCCGTATCTTACTCAGATTTGATGGGTTTTTGCCGAATGAATGCCCTTTTCCTGTTCCAGGATCCCACTTGACACTTAGTTCTCATGCCTCCATCAGCTCCTCGTGTGTGTGACAATTTCCCCCATTTAAAATAAGTTATACCATCTCTGCATCCTCAGGGATATAACTATTCTGTGCTATTCTTTCTCCCGCCAATCCTCACTTAGGTTTAGCACAATAAGCAGCTCTGTGTTTTTTACAGTCACCTTGGTCGTATGAACCTTGTTCCCAGTAGATTCTTCAGGAAGGGCTCATGGAACAAACATCCTCCTTAAATGTTCACAATAGCTTGTGCCTGTTGAGCTTTTGTAAATCGGTGCTACTGGATGGACAGAAAATCTTTGGTTCACTTTTTTTACTGGATTGTCTTAAATGTGTGGGTAAAATTGTAATATTTCCAGAATATCTTGCCTGGCTTTAGTGCATTTGCATATCCTCAGGGATGGAGAGAAGTTCATCTCCATATCAATGGGAATTACCTGTGCAACCAAGGGCTTACCTGAACCTGAGACGTTAGGGGGAGAGGCTCCCTTGCTTGCTTCTGTGGGAACAGGAGAGAGAGATGGACGCCCAGACTGCTGTTTGTAAGCAATGAATGGGTTTTAAATTATATTTCTTCCTTTGACCAATTTCAATTTTTAGAGGTATTTTGCCCCAGGATTTCCTTTCCCTGGACTTACATCTGGCTTTAGTCGGCAGGATTCCTCTGAAACCCGAAATCTGTCATAATGGGTGCGACCTTTGGGAGGTCCGCCCCTAGAGATGATGGGGAGATGCCCGGAACCGCCCCTGTGGATGGTGGGGAGGCCCCAGTGGATGCAGTGGCAGGGGGTGCAGCTTCACCTGTTATTATCCCCACAGCTGTGGGGTTTCCAATTTGGGAACCCCTAGTGGGGAATTACTCTAGGGAAAAGTACCTCTTAGACAGGTGGGGCCTTCCCCAGAACTGGGGAAGGGTGGAAACACTGGAAGCTGCAGAATTAGCCCTCTCTGAGTTGGAAAACTGCTTGGAGACCTTAGGGGACCTTAGGAGACCCGTGTGGCGGCTGGCATTGTAGGTCTCTTTTCATCAAGATGTTGGAAAATGTTATACAGGAGAGAGAGTGACTTATGCAGGAGAGAGACACACCTCAGCATCACTTGGAGGAGCTGGGCGATAACCTATGGGATGCTGTTAAAGAAGAGAGACAGTTACTGAAAAGGCAGGTCACCCTCCTAGAAGATGCCTTTGCAGCAATGAGGGGGAAGTCTACAGGAAAAGCTGCATTGCAAGGGGCCATGGGGCAGGGGGAGGAAAGAGTAGTGCCTTCAGCCCGGAGATGGTGGAGCAGGAGCCGGTGGTGAAGAAGCCCAAAGGAGAGGAGGAGGAGGCGGGGCCATTGGCGGATCTGCTACCCAGGCCTCCTCTGGAGGTACCATCTTCTCCTGTTTTAAAGGCCCGCCCAGCTATAATTAAGAAAATAAAAATGAAACAACCACAGGCCCTTCCCCAGGTTGTGGACCACTCTATGCTCTACCCCTATGCCCAGGATGAGCTGGTGGACATGAGCGTCTGGTGTAGACAGACGCCATCAGAATCTCTGCCTATATGGCTTTTACGTCTCTGGGATTTGGGGCTGGATAACATTGTTATGTCAGGTACTGAGATGAGTAGAATGGCTTCCCTGACAACTCACCCTTCCCTCCAGCAGCAGTTGCAAAATGCCCGTCACACCTCAGGGAAT